ACGAGCCATAGTCCACTTTGCGAGTCGTAAGAGTGACCCATAGAAGAGGGTAAAGAAATTGGAGTTTGATTTTGGCTAAGTATGGGACGACGGAAGCATAGTACGAGTCGTAGGGCTAAGCCATAGAAATATTCAAAGATATTTAGTCCAGTACATTTGACAAAGACTTGTCAAGACGGGTCGTGCAATGATCTACGAGTCGTAGGTCATGTCCGTAAAATAAAAGAATTTGCAAATAAAAGTGTTGATGTTATAACTAGTTCATTAATTATGTAAAGACTACAATATGGAAAAGAAATTATTAGTATTCTCTTGAAAAACATACCGAAAATTTGAGACAAAACAAACTTAACAACTTTCGAATACATGAAATTATATAAAACTTCATCATCTGCACAATTCTAATATTTGTTACAATGCTTACAACCTAGTGTGCTTAGATATTATGATTGGTAAAATTTGTTCACCAAACCTAATTTGTGTGACATCTTATTTTTCATTAAAATTTTAACTCACGTAATGAGTGCAAATCACACTTGTGGTTTTCTTTGAAGAAGAAGCGTAGAAAACTTAGGAAATTTTTAGTTTAAAAATTAGAGGAAACCCCTCTATTTATAACCATTAAATGGTAGTATGAACATGTGTTTATTGTGTTTTATTAGATAAGTCAGAACCTTTTAGGAAAGTGATAATTCGTTGGAAAAGTCATAACTATTTAGAAAAGTCACAACCATTTAGAAAAGTCACAACTAATCAAAAAAATCACAACACTTTGAAATAGTCACACCTTATCATAAAATATACAACCCTTCATGTGAAAAAAATGTATTCTTTTAATAATATATAAAATGAATAAATAAAAATATAAAATAGAAGATATACTAAATTGAGTGTTTTAAGTTATGAGTATTATAGTGATTTAACATTCAAGTTAGGGAGTTTATGTTTTGAAGTTAGTATAGAATATATAGATAGATAAGACAAAAATTCTTAATCTTTTTTCTTCACGGTGACATAGATTCAAGGAGGGTCACCGGGTTCACGTGAACTCATGCTCCCCTCCCGGAATCATATATAGTAGAGTTATATATTTTTTAAAATATTAAAATATAGATGTGTGAACCCACACTCACATAATGCGATAATGACTGCGTGCACCTCTCTACGTGAGGTAAGAAATTTAAATTTTATATTTATCTTATTTTATTTTTCTTTCTAAAATTAGATAACACTTCTCTAAGTGGTCATTGATAACACTTTTGACATTTAAATCAATTCAAATATATATATAAAAAAAATTAATTTTGGACCTATTATTTAAAATTTTAGCAGTTTTTCAGTAGTAAAAACCTAAATGTCATCTCAAAATCCTGGATACGCCTCTGTGCCGCGTTCAATAACTTCATCTTCTGGTTTTCGATCTAATCAGCCCTTTTTGCTTTATGTTTGTATCTCTATATATTTGATTTTGTTTTAGTTTGTTTCCTATTTCATTTTGGCTAGGTCACTTTCAGACTTGATCCTGTAAACACTGTTTGTTTGATTAATTCTTTAATATAAAGGAACACTTTACTATAAGGGTTAACTGCCATAACCCTTGTTAGCAACCATGATTAGAGATAAGTCATCGATTTGCGTCACATCACATATTGAAAAAATAAAGAAGCAGTAACACAAGTTGAGATTTAACCATATACATCCCAAGAGAGAGAAAAGCTAGCCGTAAATAGTCTTTCTATCTTCACAAAAGATGAACTCTGCGTATATTTTATTCTTTTCAAATTAAATTGGATGTAATGTTGTTTGTCAAGAGAAAGAAAAGCAAATAAAGATACAATTAGTTGTCAAGTTCAAAATTGATGTCTTTTTCTCTTGTTCAAAGAAAGAAGAGTGTGGAAAAAGTTAAAGGTGGAAAACAACAACATATAGAGATGAATCTTTGAGGATTATTATGTTTAGTGTTGTTGGACCCATCAATCAATGGATTGAGAGTTACACATTTAATTTCTGGCTGAGTATATATATATGTATATCATTCATCCTCCCAACATTTGGGTTAAATTGTTCTTCCAACATTTGTTTTAGTTTCACCATTTCTTGATGAGAATGAAAAGGGGAACTGGTTTTTGCTTTTGTTAAAAGACAATAATGACCCTTAGTTTTGATGTTTTAATGTACTACTAAGGGCATTTAAGTGAAACCAAAAGAAAGCCTTGCTAACCTACTACCTTTCTCAAAAAGAAAGAAGGAAAATCTAGAAAAGAGGAAGAGTATTAAGGCAAGAGAGCTATAGATAAGCAAGGAAAAGGCATTGATGCAAAAAAAAAAAAAAAGGTGAGGCAAGTGGCTTAAGGGCCCCATATTAGGTTAGCAAAATTCTAGCTATATTTCATTCATTTCAACTTATTTGAATTTCTTTTAAAAATTTCGTGGTCTAAAATTAAAGATATGTCACATATATCAAATATTTTTCAGTGATCTTAAATATGTTATATGAAAAATTGAAATTACGAAACTGTTATGATATTCTGTTTGAAACCAAATAACAGAAAAAGTAGATTAAATAAATTGAAATGGGAGAAGAATTATATAGGAAAAGAATGTTATGTGCGGGTCATGAGAGTTCATTATTTCAACAATTAAAGCAAAATAGCCCCTTGTGCAACTAACGTGAATGCATCCCTACAACTATTCCTTTTATCATACCTTTTAGCTTAGTGAAGTCCAGTCCATATTTCTTCTCACGTGGGGTTCCCTAAAGTTATCTAAAATCAACTATTTTGTCTAAACCAAGAGCTATTTTTTATGCTTCATCGATGTCATGAATTTTCTCCTTTTCCTTTTAATAATAATGGTGTGTTCGCTCCACACTCGCTTCACCTTAATTATTTTATTAAGTATTTGTGTTTTCCACCACGATAAACATTTAGTAATTATCAAGGAATCAAGGTTTCTTGATTACTTATAGAGGCAGAGCTAGGTGAGGGTTCGTCGATTCAGATGAATTCAATAGCTTTTCTGTAGATCCTATATTTGCACTAGAAAATTGAATAAATATATATGTATATTAACTTGAGAACATGTAACAAAATTGATTGACAGTTCAGTGGTAAAGGAAAAGACGTGGAAATACTTTTCACATTAGAGTTATGGGTTTGAACCCCTTCTCTTATCTTTTTTTAAAAAGAATTTGAACCCCCACACTCTTAGTCCTGGCTCCGCCTCTGATTACTTAGATAAGGATTTTTTTTAAAAAAAAAATGCCCCTTTCAAATTAGTTATGTATAAAAATGAACTTCTCTCGTAAACAAAAGATCATAAAATTATTTTTCTTCTTTTATAAATGACATGCAAAATCGGTTTTTTCGTAATCATCCCACCAAACATAAGCAAATAAAAAATCACATAACATTTTTTGTCTATTGGAATTCTAGCTATGATCTCCTATGATTCTTACTCATTAGGGGCATATCACACTTTGACTGCTAGATTAGAGTTTTCTATTTTCGAATCATATTACTTGTCATATTTTTTATTTAAACGCTCTTTAAAAAATTATATATTTTGACTATTATATCTTATTTATTATTCTTAAAACATTTAAAATATTAATCTTTCTTTAATTAGTATTTTCTCTTAAGTGTCTCCTTAATAAATAAAAAGATAATTAATCGAGCTAAACAATCACAATATTGAAATAATGAAATATATGTAAATGCTTTTTGCTTAGATTCTTTTTTGTCCTAATTAATGAAAGAAACACATCGACTATAGTCGAGGCTAAATTTCATTTTATTGGTCAATGAGAACCTAATCATGATTTGTGGTTATATATCGTTTTCAAAATTGAGCTAAAAAACAATAGGTATTTGCCAAGCAAATAAAATGCACACGATCTCTACTTATAAAAATCTAGAAACTCCTAGTCGTATTGATTTGAGAATTAATGACTCATGGACCTTAAGGACCAATAATTGAAACACAAAATGTGTGCTAAATTCTACAAGTGTTTTGGAAATAATATTTTTGGGTTAAATTATTAGACTTTTAAGTGTGCTTTAAAAATCAAATTCTTCCTCAATTTTGAATAATAGCAATTTTAAGTTTATTAAATGTTTATTTTATCCTTACATTATCAACATTATTTCCTTCTTTAAAATTATAATATATATATATATATATATATATATATTTTTGTATAAATGTTTACTTCTTCATATTTTAAACACTTTTTTATATGTCCACAGAGTAGTGCACAAACTGAAGTACCAAAATGCCCTTAACCTTGACTTTTATTAAACCAGATTAATTTTTAAATTATTTAAATAAGATAAAATTAAACCAATAAAAGTTGGATTTTTATCTCATTTTCCCTCGGTTTGGTTTCTTTTATTTTTATTTTTAATTCTTTTGTAAGGTCTCTGCAACACAAAATATATAACAAGTGTTTCGAAGTATTTTTTTTATATTGTAGTAAAATTTTATAACATATCTAGTGAAATTTTATAAGTGAGGATTGGAGAAGATAAAATGTATGTTAATCTTACCACTACCTCGTGCATGCAGAGAGGTTATTCCGAAAAAGCCTCGATAGTAAATCCATCTACAACAAAGATAGTGAAGAAAATATAGGGTAACACAGGTAGTGCAAAGTCTATCCAAAAAAGGAAAAAATAAATAATACAATAGTGTGATAATCAAAAGACACTAATCAATAATAATACCACTAGTATAATGACAAACACCAACTACTATAAGCAAGACAATACTACACTACTTTCTAACATTCTGCCCTTATACATATCCTTCACACCCTTCTATTTAAGATCATGTGTAATATCATATCATGTTTTATCACCTCTGCTCAATACTCTTTCGGCTTATACTGCATCTCCTCATACCCTCTATTATTAACATCTCGCACCTCCTCACTGGTGTGATAAGTGGTTACATTATAGTACTAAATTAAACATAAAATCAAATTAAACCATATCACAAGTAATTTGTTTTTCTTTTTAAAAATTTGATTGGACACATCCATTTTGTTTGAAGACCCCTAAATAGAGAGTGAGGGAGCTACTAAAGAAAAGTGCTCTCTCCTCCATCCTTCAATATAGTATGAACATCACAGTCATCACCCCCAATATAGAGTATGTCCAAAACCCTAATTACTGACACTACTCCATTATTATTATTATTATTGTAGTATTCTATACATTTTCACAGAATGTGCAGCAAGCATTTCAAAGAACTAGATATGTCCTCCCAGAGTTTGTTTTACAGGGCAAGGATGAAGCTGAGGATGCCTCCTGCCACAGCCATTCTCTTATTTATCTACCTCATTGTCTCCTTCTCACATCTAGTTAATGCCCAACTCAATCTTACCCTTCCTAACCAACACCCTTATCCTGAATCTGTTGTTCACCAACTACAAAGGTAACTAAATATCTGCATTATTTCTCTTAAATTCCCACTTAATTTCATGTTTATGCATCCATCGCTTGTTTCTGTTACAGGAAAGTCAATGAGTCCAGATTACTACTCCAGACAACTGTAAGAGATAACAAATGTCAGAGTACAGGAAACCCAATAGACGATTGCTGGCAATGCGACCCAAACTGGGCCAAAGACCGGCAAAGGCTAGCAGACTGCTCCATTGGTTTCGGTCAGGGTGCAATGGGTGGGAAAGGAGGTCAGATCTACGTAGTCAGAGACTCCTCAGACAGAGACACCGTCAACCCAACTCCGGGCACTCTCCGTCACGCCGTTGTTCAAGAGGAACCTCTTTGGATCGTGTTTGCAGCAGACATGGTCATAAAGCTAAAGCATGAGCTTATTATCAACAACTACAAGACCATCGACGGACGGGGAGCAAATGTTCACATCACCGGCAATGGGTGTATTACATTACAGTATGTGAGCAATGTGATTATACATAATGTTCATATTTACAATTGTGTCCCTTCGGGTAATACTAACATACGGTCGAGCCCTACGCATGTTGGGTGGAGAGGCAAATCGGATGGTGATGGTATATCCATCTTTGGATCTCATAATATCTGGATTGATCACTGTGCATTATCTCATTGTACCGACGGCTTGATTGATGCGATCATGGGGTCTACTGCTATTACCATATCGAATAACTATTTTAGTCATCATGATGATGTTATGCTCTTGGGACATGATGATTATTTAACAAATTTTCTATAAAAAAATATATTTTGTTTCATTGAAAAATTAATATATAGATTTCCTCATAACTTATATATGAAGCAACTAATTTTAAAATGTAAGGTATGATGCGTCTTTTATTTGTGCAACAATATCAATAGCTTATGCATTATTCAGTAAGGGGTCTTTTGGTAGATGGTTAGAGTAATGCAAGTATTAATAATAAATGGATTAGTTATGAGTGAATCTATGAATTATTTTTTGTAGGTATTAATTATACGTGTAATAGTTATACATGTATTAGTTATTACACCTTCATTCTATCCCACATAAAATAATACACATATTTCCTCATAACTTATACATATATTATTAGTTATGCGGATTCTAAGTTGTCAACCAAATATCGTATTATTTTTATACATGAATGACTTATTTCCTATCTACCTATCAAATGTCGTATACAAAAATTAATACATGAACAACTTGTTTCATATCCATCTACCAAATGACCCCCAAGTTTATGTTGTTTAGTATATTGGATTAGCTAACAATATAAGCGGGAAATTAAACATAACTTGAGTTCTGGTATAAGAATTATAAGATCCAAAATGACACGAAGACAACTTTTTTAAAAAAAAAACAATCATTCCATTTATTTTCGTGTATGGTTAACAATTAAATAATTGAATCAAAATTGATAACAATCAAACCAATGGATGTATATTTGATTTGATTTTAATATTCAAAAACAAATTAAATTAATTTGGTTATGATTTTGACAAATAGTCAATCCAAATCGAATCGTAAACACTCCTACAAAGAAAGTACATATTTTTTTTGTTCTAATAAATGAAAGAAATACAACGAGTAGAATAGGGCTAAAATTCTTTTTACTAGTCAATGATAACCAAATCATGATTAATGGTTATCGTTTTCAAGTGAGCTAAAAAATATAAGGTAAACGCCAAGCAAATCAAATGCACACGATCTGGACTTGCGACAATGGAAACTCCTAGTCGTATTGATGTGAGAATTCATGACTCTGGGACCCCAAGAATCAATAATTGAAAGACATTGAAAAGCACATATTATGTGAATCAAAATGCTATGAAAAATATTTCTTTACTAAAATAAGTTTTGGAAAATGACTTTTTCGTTGAAAGTAAAAAAGATAAAATTGTATTACACTCTGTTTGGTTGGCTATTACTTATTGTTTCATAATGTATCATATTGTATTATATTTTGTTGTATTGTATTCTACTGTATCCTTCTAATGAATAGAGTGTTCAAATAGATAGTATCGTTCTCCATCGTTACATAATGTCACATATTCAGAATTTTGATGATAAATCTACAAGAAAAATAATGTACGGAATAGAGTTATTATGAAAAAGGTAAGGTAATGATAAATAGAAATATTAAATAATTAAAGACAAAATGAGAAGAAAATATTAAAATAACGACGCAATCACATCAAAGCGGTCGTTACATTAAATGAGTCCTTTCATTGTTATCTAACAATGAATAAACGATACGATACAATATAATTTAAGTAACAATCAAAACAAACATTGTAGTTAAACTAACAATACAATACAATGGGTAACAACCATCCAAACAAGGTGTAAGTGATATTTCATGTTGGTTGTTTCTCCTCCCCCCTCAACAATCCACCCAACCTGCTCTACACCTCCCTCCCACACCCCATCCCCAAATGACCTTTTTTTTTTTTT